TACACAACAGGAAAAACAAGTTTCAGAGATCTGGGACAAGCGATATGTGATGAAAAATACCCTTAATATCAGCCTTGACGAATCAAGTATCTTCTATAGCTATTATAGAAGTATTAACAAACACCTTTGTATAGCATGTTGTCCCTGAATGCCTAAAAACACTGGCAAATTTTGTTTAATGCATAAGAGCAACAAAGGAAACTTAAAAGAACTGTTTGAAAAAGAGCACCATTCAGCAGATCCCAGGAGGCTGATCTCCAGATGATGGAGGATGCAATCCAATGTCCCTCCATGCTACATGTACATAAGCCCCTGAACTCCTGACTATCACCAGCACATCTTCTCTGGGACAAACGTACTGTAAAGTCTTAACCAAGAGATCACTGCTGTAGCTAACAATAATTCTAGCATCAACTGGAAATAAATGGTGCCTCAATTATAAGAATTGCTGCCATAAAGATCCTCAGTGAGGCATTTGTCCACAATATATGAACTTGAAGGTGATCAAGAAAGAGAAAAAAGATATTGAGTGAGCTGCCCTTAAGTGATTCTTTCAAGAATAGAGTATCTCTTTCCCTTGGCGACAATATAGGAAACTGCTAAGCCCAGAGTGGGCTGCAGGCAGCATTTCGCTTCCGTCATGAATTCACAAGGTGATTTAGTCAAGCCACTCTGTTTCAAGCTTAAAAGGGCAACAATATTTTATTTATGTATTCCATTTATTTATTTATTATTTAGATTTATTTATTTATCAATTTATATCCTGCCTTTTTCCTACAAAGGGCTCAAGGCAGCTTACATCATTCTCTTCCATCTTATCCCCACAACAACAACCCTGTGAGGTAGGTTGGGCTGAGAGTCTGTGACTGGCCCAGGGTCACCCAGTTGGCTCCATGGCTGAGCGGGGACTAGAACCCAGATCGCCTGAGTCCCAGTCCCACGCTCTTAACCACTACACCATGCTAGCCTAATACTAACCCACTTTGCAGAGGTGTTCTGAAGACACCATATATGAAATGCTTTAAGAATTTGTGATATGTACATGCTAACTCTAACATCAGTATAAATATTTTACAACAGTGATCTTAGCTACCTTTTCATCCCCAAAAAAGGCAAGGTACATAGATTTCTCCGCCTCTGTCCATTTTGTCCCATCAACAACCCTGCTGGACAGGTTAGGCCACCCACTGAGAGCCTCAGGGCTGCATGGGACTCCCTGTTCCTACTCTAGCATTCCATCCATTGCATCACACAGACATAATGCAAAAAGTAGTACGTGTTGTTTATCATGATGGATCAAGATCTAAACATCACAGGAGAGATTATCAGTGGGCTATGTGTTAAAAATATAACTGAAGTCAACAAAATTATTATTATTATTATTATTATTATTATTATTATTATTATAACATTTCTATGCCGCCCCTTGCCGAAACCTCGGGGCGGCTTACAACATGATAAAATACATTGAAATACAATAGTACATAATAAATTACCATTAAATATAACAATACAAAAAATGCATTGATTTACAAATACAAAATTAAAATTATCAGTATAAAATAAAAATATAGGAGGAGAAAGAGAAGGAAGAAGAAGTTGCCCAGGCCAGATCATATGTTTTAACAATTGAAATGATGTTTAAATAAAAAGGTCTTTACCTGGCGCCGAAAAACCAGTAACGACGGTGCCAGGTGGACCTCTTTGGGGAGTGAATTCCATAGGTTGGGCGCCACTGCAGAGAAAGCCCTCCTCCGGGTACTTACTCTCCTAATTTCTTTCATGGAGGGTTCCCGGAGAAGGGACTCTCCCGCAGATCTCAAAGGGCGGTCGGGCATATACGGACGTAAGCGCTCGTTCAGGTAGCCAGGACCCAAGCCGTTTAGGGCTTTGTAGGTCATAATCAACACCTTGAATTGGGCCCGGGCTTCAATGGGAAGCCAGTGAAGTTGACGGAGGACTGGAGTCATGTGAGCATAACGCCCCGTCCCCGTCTATAACTTGTCTTGAAGCAAGACACCATACCAGTTTCTCTCTTCTGCTTCCTGTACAGACCCTGTGACACCTACTAGAGAGTAAACATCACTGAATGCACCTGGACTCACCTAGACAGGCATGCATACAATTGCACTACACAAATCATTACCCTGGAAATTCCAAGTCTGGACATAAGGTATTTAGAGGGGACACCTATAAGCAAAGTTATATGTTGAAGGCATTTGGTGATGAAGGAGTATATGTAAAGTGATGCAATTTTGTTAGCTTTCCAGAGTGAAATCCAGTCTTGAGAACTTGTACTGTAACCTTATGACAATCATTTTAACTGCAAAATTGTAAAAAGTTTAAATGCAAAGATACTTTACTTTTAGAAATCACAAGTATAGGAAGAGGTTTGAAAACCTTGTACTTATAACATGGCTGAAATAAAAAGTAATCCCTGTGAGAACAAATGTATTTTAATGGCACATCACAAGATATGAGCATATGAATGTTATGGGACTAGAAGTATCTTGTACCCTTTTATAAGCTTGCAAAACAAGTTAGCCACTTCTGTAACTCTTGTTATTGTACCAGCTCCCTTTTCTACCTCACAGCATCCTATAATCACACTCATCCTTTTGTAGACGTCTGTGTGTGTGCGCGTGTGTGTGTGTGTGTGTGTGTTGGGTGGGGAGGGGGCGTTTCTTAAATTTGGGCTTCAACTGGAACAAAAGGTTGGAGTGTGTGTGAGAGACAGAATTGTCAGAAGCTAACAAGACATTATGAAGGAAACAAGCTCTTGATCCTATTTCTACAGGCCCCTTTGCCAGTAGAATCAATTGTGGGTGTAGCAATTCAATCAGGAGGCTTCCCTGGCTAAAAAGATCATTCCTAAAATTGTCAGCCAAAATATCAATTCTTGCGAAATCTTTCTGTATTGCACTTTGCTTACAGTATTTTCAAAACAGAAAGAAAAATGCCTTGAGTTCTTCAACCCTTCACTGCGAGAGAAAACAAAATGTTTCTTCACTACCTGGGAGTTACATCTATCCTGTGCTTACATGTGGGAGAAAGTCCAACCAAATCACTTTGATCAGGATCAGGAATTGCACCAGAATGTTTATGGACTGCAGTGACATAATCTACATAGTTATTCATTCTGAACTCAAAGGGTGAAAAGCTATGGCTGCCGAACTTCACAGCTATTCCATAACAATCAGGCTGGTCCTTCTAACATTCATGGCTGCAGTATGGCCAACATCAATGAAAGCTGTGGTCTTGAAGGATACTGATAGAAGCCTGAACTCATATGTAATCAGAGTGGAACACTGGTTAGCCAACATTTATATGAAGAACTGCATCATCTTTAGTACTGCCCCTGTATTTTTTCTGTTTATCAGTTGCAAGAATGGTGTGGACAAAAGCAGAGACGGTTCAAGACAGAGCAGCAAATGGCACCCCTCAGCCACTCAAGTCAGCGTACCCAAAGCCAAGCCAAATTATTTTCACACACAGGTCAGAAAATCCCAAAAGCACTTATCCAAATCTGTAGCAATAAAAATACAACATATTGCAGTTCTTTCGTTATCACTTTTGAGGCACACTGCTTCTGCTGCCTCAGAAAGCACCTTGCCCGGCCTCATGGTGGGGCTGGCCACAGGGAAGTTTCTCCTATACCTCTGTGCTAACATATAGTTCAGCCTACATGGAAGTTTGAGGGTGAAAGTACAAATGTTCCTGTCCTATATATTCTTCTTATTAAAAACATTTCTTGGCCAATATTCAGGACAGGAGCTCTCCAAAGCGGATATAAGCAGTAGTGCACACCTAGCAAATAAATAAAATAAAAAGGCAGCTCCATGCACAGCTCACAATCCATTCTGGGTATCGTTAATGCATCAGTGACTGAGGCACAAACAACGGTCCTTTCCAAATAAGGCAGCAGCTAGTAGAGCAGCCCAAAGTGATAAAAAGCAGGCTTCACCGGTTAGCCCAGAGTCCAGATGACTGCCATACTTGGTAGATGGTGGAGAAAAAGGAATGGCCGATCTAAGACTAATTATAAATTTCCTGAATAGTTTCCTGATCCAAAGTGCCTCCATGTTGTCTGGATTAAATCTCAGCTTGCTTACCTTCATTTAACCACCCCCGACCCCAGCCTACAGACAATGGTTTGAGAGTTCTACACTCTCCCCAGGATGTGTGGATGGAAAGGAGAGGCAGGACTGAGCATCACCTTGTACACTGATAGCACTTCAGCCCAAACCTCTTGATAACCTCCCTTGTAGATGTTCAAAAGCATAGGGAACAGTGAGGTTGAAAGTGTTCGTACCTGGTAAATGTTGAAGAGAGGTTCATGGGCTTCAAAGTAACATAAGTTTGTCCATCACACTGTACCACTGCACATAAAAGTAATCGTTTTCCTACCCAAACCCCCAGTGAGGATCACAATGCTTGAGCTCACCCACAGCCAGTGGAAACACTGGGTAAGCTAATGCTGGGTTCCCCTGCCTCCCCTTCCTTTTCTTCTATGCCATATTTGCAAGCCTGAATTCTAGTCCGTGACAAAACATGGTTTGCTCTTTTGCCTGCACTTGGCAAATTATGGTTGGAGCAAACCACAGTTAGCTTGCAAACCAGAATCCAAAGCTCCCCTCACACATGAACAGGGGGTGAGGATTATGGGATGCATGTGTCTGAGATGAATGGCTGCTGGTGTTCATTAGGCTAAACTACACTTTATGTCTGGGTGCAGTCCTTAAGAGAATTCGAGCAACCTCAAGTTTCACATGAGCATTCCTTGTCTTGAACAATTATGATACACTTTGGTGAAAGCATGAACAAAGGGTGCACCTGAACAGCTGTACAAAAAGGATTAGTTCAAGGGAAATGTGATCAAACAGTCAAACTTCCATTAGCTCAAAAACAAAAGATGGGGAGGGAGGAAGAAAAATCTCTCATATGATCTTAATGTTTCATTTCACTCCAAGCAAGCAAATCAAAGACGGAAAGGACCATACCTGGAATGGCTCTGAGCTAGTAATGTAGAGCACTTTTCTTATCCATCTGTTGCCTTGATTACCAAACGTGTGCCAGAGCAGATGTCCTCTTGTATTGCTCACCACTCTCTGGGAAACAGCCAGCCTGTAAATGTGCTTTCCAAACATATGATAATGAAAACGAAAAATGCAGCTTTTGTTGCCATTTGTAAAGGTAGAACTAAAGACTGGACTTAGCAGAGCTGCTGTGTTTTGGAACACCTGTGGCTCTGAAGACTCCATGTAGAGATAGTGCCCTCTTACTGTGCCCAGCGTATGATCTTTCATTGGTCCTGTGTTAGGAGTGGAAGTCGGTCCTTGGTTTCTGGTCCAATTGAAGTCATCATTCAAGTCTTGCTCCCAGTTGCAAAGCCCAAGCTCAAAATTGCACTGCAGCTCAGGGGCTGAAAGCAGATAGACAAAGCAGTAGGTTTTACATACCAGAGGTATCCACTACCTTTTGGGGACAGCTGACATTCCCCCAGCTTGCATGCACAGAACATTCTGTGCAGCTCTAGATTCTTCAGGAGATACAGTGAGGTGGTCGCCACCAAAAGCTAGCCTATGAGAAGAGCTGCATCCCTACCTGTGGCAGTAAACCATGTTGGTTTATTTGTTTGTTTTAAAGGACAGCCACTGCTGCCACCTACTCCCAATAGCTACTCATCACACCGTAAGGCCTTTCGAGATTCCCCTACAAAATTCACCCCCTTTGATGGAGGCAACAAATTTGGTGATACCAATTTCAGCCAGTCCACAGAAGTTCAAATGCCTTCCATATCTGACCTAGGGAACTTCCAAAGATAAACAAGTGACAGCCAATTTACTGTTAGTTTAACAAGAGTATAATCATTGCAATATACTAAATCCTTGTGTTCCTAATGCAGAAAATTCAACTGATTTCATGTATATCCTCAACTCTGCGCTACTCTTGCATTCTTGAGGCACCATCTAAATCAGGGGTGGGGAATATGTGGTCCTTCAGATGTTGCGTAATGATTGCCATTATCCTTGATCAATGCCCATGCTGGCTTAGGCTGATGGGAGCTGGAGCCCAACAAAATTTTACATGTTTTCCACCCTTGCTTCAAATATTTATTGACTGAGGAATAAAAGTGGTAATTAGAAAGTGGAAACACTACACCTTAAATAAGGGTCTATGCAAAAACAATTCCCAAAGAGGAACTGTGTAAATCTAGGTGCCACAACAAAAAAATAAACTCTGTATTGCTTATATGAAAAAACAGTTTCAACAGACCTCCCTTTGCTTAAGGTGCAACATCTCCCACTTCTATGTGCTCGCCCTGAGGCAGGTCTGCTGACACAGAAATGAGTATATTACAGTCAGAGAAACAGAGACTGGTGGTGCACTTGAAACTGGCCATGACAATTCAAGAGAAAATGTTTCAGTATCTTACCACATTCATCCTCATCAGATCCATCTCCACAATCATCAACAAGATCACACAGTAACAAACTGTCGATGCACGCTTTTGAGTCTCGGCACCAGAAATTATTGGAACCTTCACATTTTAATTTTGGAGGCGGCAGTGCACAGTTCTCAAATGTTATATCATCAATAGCTGAAACACCTTCATAAAATCCAAGGCTGACTTTATCTAGATATAATTGAAAGGGCTGTGCAAGGCGGCCAAGCTGAATTACTGCCTTTGACCACTGATCTCCTTGATTGTAATATATTCTCCAGAGGACTGTGGGATCTTTTACTCCATCAACAAGCAATCGCATTTCTGCTGCTCCAACTGATAGCCCATAATTGTAATACCTGGGAGGTATAAAAGTCAGGGTCAACGTCAGCAAAGTTAAAGCACATTGATAATATGAAACTGCCTTATACATATAAGATTTTCTTTCCTTTCCCTTTCTCTTTTTTGAGAGCAGTATTGTCTATTCTAAGTAGTAGTGCATCTTCCATTTTTAGGTAGAGTTCCTTCCAAACCCTGCAACTCAGGGGCCTTTTTCATTGCTAAGATTGACAATTTTATCCTTTATCACTTGATGCATGTACAAAATGTGCATTTTGGTGGTCACATTGAGCTATGGGCTCTAACTTTTGTGACTGTGGAAAAATCAACTTGTGGAAAAATCAAAAAAACTTAGGATGATGCCTCTGTGAACATGATTGTTACACCCAAACATACAAGCACAGTGTGTGTGTGCTATGTCCTTACACGTTTTCTACTTTTCCTCTAATTCATCAGGGACTATCACTTCATTAGAGTGAAAAATATTGGAATTGTGATACATGGCCTCACTCATACTCACCAATATATGATTCAGGCCAAGGACGGTTTTCCTCCTAGATCATACTGTCTAGCAAAATTAAAGATTTACTGCCTTCCTCTCCATCGGCCAGCTTAACTCAACTGCATAACTCAGGGCCAAACTAGACATGATGTCAACTAAGTTACTTATACTCACATCATTTAAAACAGCATGTAGGGTGGTGGAACACTTTCCAGTCCTCCCCTCTACCATTCATTCTGGGATGGAAGTCTCAGGTGGCACCAACTGAAGCATCTCACCTGGCACATGGGAAGTGTAGCTGCAAGATCCATGTAAAATGGATCTTAGGGTATTTTATTTTTTTGAGAGCAGCACTGTCTATTTTAAGCAATTTTATTCAGGATTGCAGGAAGGGAGCAAAAACGTAAACCTTCCCTCCCCATGCATAGCAGTCTTGATTAAAACTGCATCCTGCACACACTTATTATTTCTATTATTACTACTACTATTATTATTATTATGCTCATGCAATTGCAAGTGATGCATTCAGCACCATGTCTAGTTTGATCTCTAACTGCATTATTTGCTCACGGGTATCATTTTCTAGAGCACTTGATATGCCAACTGTTTCTTGGATTGCACTCTTTAACTGTGTGTGGGGGAAACAGTGAATTGACAGCCTTGCCTTCCAGTGTTAGTTGGTCTAATAGTCCTTTCCATTGTTGCAAGAGTATAGAAATACATTTACGTACATAAACCAAATGCTGTGTCTGTATAATGCAGTTAAACTAAATAGAATTATAGCTGAAATGAGTCCAACCAACTGGAACTATTTAAAAAGCATGAGATCAGCAGCAGTGGAGTATCTGTTCTTAAGCAGGCTTTAGGTTTGTTATTTTTAACCATTTAGATACTCTTGCATTTAAGAGAACTTCTTTGGAAGGAATTAAAAGAACCATGGGGTTACTGAGACAGAAATAGCTAAGTTGGATAAAAGGTCTTCTATGAAAGTTTGAGCAGGATAGAAACAATGCCAACTTATACTAAGAGAAGTTAATGGGAACAAAAAGGCAAGGAAGGCAAACACCCAAGAAACAAAATATACATAATTTCTGGATATGAAACCTAGAAAAGAACAGCCAAGGAATCGCAGACATGAACTAGTGATTCATTGCTTGGTCCTCTCACCGCTTCCAGTTCCTGCTTCCCTTTACATGGGTTGCAAGGAGGCTGGGAATAGTGGACCAATAAGACTCAAACAGACCAATTAGTTCAAACTGTACTTAATGCAACCAAAGTGGACAGGATTGGGGAGTGATTCCTGAAAAAAGCCCATGATGAAATTCAAATCCATAAAAGGATAGCGATTCTGTTTTGTACATCAGGATAAAACCAATAAAAACAGAATCTCACCAAAGCACATGCAGATGCAAAGTATTAATGGAATACTATAGTATAGATTTTATTGTAAGCCATCCAGTGACGAAAGTGATAGATGGCCTAGAAATACCCTAAATAAATAAATAAGTGCATTTAATTTACTTTCATCAAAGTGAATAATTATGAAAAGAATAATTATGCTGGAGCAGCATTGAAAGACACTCAGGTAATATTATAAAATATTGGCAGCAGGTCACTATCAATGTCTAAAGTTAATACATATTCTGCCATCATAGCTGTAAATGCATCCAAAAGCTTTAGCTTGGGGGAGGGGGGTGAATTTATCTACTCCACGCAAAAATGCAAACATTGAACTATATTACAAAACAAAGCATATACTATGACAAATGCTGCCCTTGCTTTCAATCCAGAGGCAGTCATGTGTTCCTGTAAACATAAAAATCAAACTTCATTCATACCAGAAGGTCATTGTGCAAGCTGATCCAGCCTGGCTGAATTTTGGACTTTGCAGTTGTGCGATCTGTGAGATACTGCTGCTGTTCCTCAGAATGAACATAAAGTGACCTGTTAAGAGTGGGTAAAAGGATAAAGCTATTTTCCCCAAGTTCCTACAGGACAAGACATACACGTCCCCACCTGCAACCCTTTAAAAATGCACTAACAGAAAACCAACCCAAATCATTCCCATGCTTGGATTTTTGTCTCATTTAAGGCACACACCTATATGGGTTTAGGCAGATCACAACTCCCAGCATTCCCCAACCAGCCAGTGAGTTGCACCCCTAATTACTGAGAGCTAGTCTGGTGTCACCAGGACCCAAAAACCTCAGCAGCCATGGACTTTCCTTTAAATATAGTTTTTCTTGACATTTTGGTACGTTCCAAACGGATGTATCTGGTAGCCACTGTGGTAACAATCTTCTAAATGAGCCCCAATGTAGAGTCATCCCAGGGGATTGGTGGGAAATTAAATTGACGATTGCTCCCAGAACCAGATATCCAGACAATACGCATTGGAGCAGAGTTCTTGTTGCCTGCCACTGCCACCAGCTAAGCACACCAGTGGCTTCCACCAAACAAGTTATCTTATTTTTCGCTCTATAAGATGTGCCTGACCATAAGACGCACCTAGTTTTTAGAGGAGGAAAACAAGAAAAAAATATTCTGAATCAAATGGGCACATAATCACAGGCACATTCCCAATCACTTCCCCATGGGCTGCACATCTGACAGACATACTGCACACACATCTTCGCTCTATAAGACGCACAGACATTTCCCCTTACTTTTGAGGGGGGAAAAGTGTGTCTTATAGAGCAAAAAATACGCTAATTTTGTTAAGAGACCCAGTGAAATCCAAAGCTGGCTCTGCTAGAGCACTTACCTACAGACTGGTTATACGTGTGATCATGGGGTGGAGCTTGTTTCTGGAAAGCAGGGGCGAGACTACTTCTTGAACTCCTTATCCAGTCAAACCCATCAGCCTCGGCCATTTCCAGCCAGCCACAGTTGCTCTTTTCAAAGTCACATTTAGCAGCTGAAATACAGGTAGAGATTTTCTTCTGGTTTGCGTCCTTTTACCTAACAGCAAATTTATTTACCGAACAGAATATCAATCAATCAGAGCCTCTTCCAACTTGGTGCCTTCCAGATGTTTTGGACTATAGTTGCCATCATTCTTGACTATCTGGACCTGATGGGAGTTGCCATTCAAGACATCTGGAAGTCATGAGCTTGGAAAGACTGACACAGACAGTTGGACCAGATGCAACTGGAAGATCATTTAAAGGTGCATTCAAAAGGGACTTTCAGTTCATGGAAGAGGTTCCAATAGAAGCTTTCATGAATAGAAGTGGGGGAAGATAACTTTCAGCAATTATCTCTGTGAGCCCCTCCCACATTAATCTAGATTATATTCCAATGTTTTGGAGCAGAAGCTTAAAGAACAAACAGCCAAATCTTGGGAGGACCCTTTTCCATGATCAGAACACGGTCCACAAAAATCTGGATCAACCCATCATTTTCAGAAAGTAACACCAAATTCCATGTTTTGAAAAGTTCATCTCTAAAAAACATTTTTAATTACTTTCATTCTCAATTTTAGTTTTAATCTGAGAAGCAGTGACTAATATCATACAAAAATGTCAACAGAGATTCTGAGTGAAAGCGTTTCACCTTTCAGTGGTTTGTCTTAATTAAGTGATGTTCCTAATGAAATAATGGAAACCAAGCCATGAGACTGTTGACATGAACATTTAAAAGATCCTTAAGCATTAAGCAAGAATTACAAATCAATGTGTTTTCACTTACAGCACAAGGCTTCATCACTGCCATCTGGGCAATCAGGTGTGAAATCACAAAATTTGTCAGATGAAACACAGTCTCCATCCTCACATGGCAACAATCCAAGTGGACAATAAAAAGATGAAGATGCATTGGTTTTCACCTTTGCTCCTACTTCAATAAAACAATCAATAATTTTAAGCTGTTATTGCTACTGTTTCAAACCTCAATATACATCTGAGAATCATATACAGAAAAACATCTTTCAGATTTTGAGAACAGAAAAAGCTATTGGGCATTCTTAGTTCAGAGGTAGAACACATGTTTTGTAGCAGGAAGTTCCAGGCTCTATATTTCAATTAAAAGGATGAAGGGGTAGAAGATGGGAAAGACCTTTTTTGTGAAACCTCAAAGAATAGAGAAGCAAATTGAGACAGATTAAATCAGCTCACTCAACTAATTTTAGAACATTGCTTTGCCCTTACCTTCCTTGTAGGTACTTGAAGATACATTATAGCTAGCCCTACATTCTTTTGTTATACTGATATCATCCACAGCAACAACAGCTTTGGCTTTTGGAACAATGGCTTGTAGAATGATCTGTGAGGCCAATGAAATAAACTTATTAAATACTACATTGACAAGTATAAACACCTTTATATTTATTATTTTCAATACAGTGGTCAAATACCATTTGTAACTGGCCTGCTATCTAGCAAATTATACAACTGAGACACCAGTTCACCAAGTCCTAAAACCATCATCCCTCCTTCCCTCCTACTCAGGAATATCATACCAAAATAGGGAACTCTATGGTTTCCATTAGCATTAAAGTTCTTATTGTACTACTTATATTATACTTGTAGCTGTTCTGACAATGGAAATTTATGGTAATTGAGTTTCCTGCATGGGCAGAAAGTTTCAAGAGCAGTTTAGGGAGTAAAATAGAAGGCTGAGAAAGAAAGGAGTTAGATAATTTTGTGTGTGCTTGTTTTATTATTTTATTTGGCTTTTGAAGGACATGAACTGTTACTGTTACATAATAGAAACATTAAAACACTGTTATTCATCCAGTGTAGCTTTGGGGGAGTCAGAAATCACATGAACTGGAGCTGGTAGTTTATACAGCATAGGGGTACAGGGTAAGAGAAAAGAAATATCTCAAGTGGTGGCATTGGGTTGCTCATGCCAGTGTTGGACTTCTTACTTCCATAAAGAGAGGCATCATAGTTATCAGGTATTAAATACACTCACAATCTTTTCAACACAAGTCCAAAATATTTATAATGACAGAAGCAGAATCTGTGGTCCTAAATAAGTAAGTCCTGCTGAACTCATACTTCTGAATTTCAGAATTGTCAAGGGGAACCTGAAATTCAATGAAGTCATATCGTGGTACACATCATAAAATCCCAGGACACAGCTTTTGGCTTCAACCCTTTCTGTAGCTCTATTTCCAAGCAGCTTTTAGTAGTGAGTAGAATAATACTGCCCTGAAAGCAATGCCCAATGTTTTGTAGCATATCCCATGACATGACATCGTTGCGTTGGGGTTTCTCTTTGACCATTCTATTTTATTTGCCATGGAAGGAAATCAAAGTGCAATGACAGCATGCCATGCACTTTTCATGACCAACAGGAGCAAAATTATGCCTATTTTAAAAGGCAAAGGTTTCACCATGACATTAAGTCCAGTCATGCCTGACTCTAGGGGGCGGTGCTCATCTCTGTTTCCTAGCCGAGGGAGCCAGCGTTTGTCCGCAGACAGCCTCTGTGGTCATGTGGCCAGCATGACTAAACACCGAGGTGCACGGAATGCTGTTACCTTCCCACAGAAGTGCTAACTTTTTATCTACTTGCATTTGCATGCTTTTGAACTGCAAGGTTGGCAGTAGCTGGGACAGAGTATGGGAGTTCACCCCATCTGCAGGTTCGAACTGTCGACCTTTTGCTCAACCAACCCAGCAGCTCAGCGGCTTAACCCATTGCGCCACAGTAGTAAAACCCACTCGTTATGACAGGGTTTACTCCCAGGTAACTGTGCATTGGATTGCAGCCTAACCATTATGTTGCAGGGTGGAGAGGAGAGGTGGAAAAGAAGCAACTGCCACACACCAGCTGCAATTTGTGGCTCTGGTGTGGTATCCCCCTTTGGAGAAGGATAGCCTCCTAGATCAACACAGGCCCTCTAAGTGGGTAGCCCTTCTCTCCCGATGCTGTGTCATGGGGGCAGGGATCCAACTGTCCTCCTCCTGCCCTCTCCCCTCCCTGCACTTCCAGACCCTATCGGTACCCAGGGCCTGAACATCTGGGGACAGCAGCCTTGAGATGACCTCACCCTCCACCATCATCTTTATGTCCACACTCCTCCTTTCCCAGCACTCACAGTCTTCATCTGAGGAGTTGGTGCCATCCTGGCCATGGAAAGTGCACCAAGAATCAGTGCCTCTTTCATTCCCAGCACATTGGAAACAGCAAGCATGGGGGCAATTGCCCCACAGTGTCACGGGGGTGCGGGGGGGGGGGCAAAGACTTAAAGCCTCCCTTCCTCTACAGTTTTGCCTCTTTCCCAGGCACCAAGTCAGACCCCATGACAAAAAGTCACAAGCAGTTTGGCCCAAAGAAATCTCATGCAACTTCCACACCTCTGCAGAGTGAATGACAAGAGGGAAAAGCTGAGCATGGAAAAAGTACAGTTGAAGACTGCTGAGTACTCTGAGCAAAGGCGATCCATTTCGCAAAGCACAAAGAGCCAGCCTTCACCGAGAAAGGGGTCTCAAGCAAAAGAAGAATGACAGGCAGCTGTATTATATTTAGGCTCCCCCACATTTCTGTGGTCACCTTGTCTCACACCACTGGACACAAATATTCCATGGAAAAGGGGGGGTGGGGGAAATCCAGCAGCAGGGACAGAACTCCTCCTACAGGTAAGACAGTCAGAAGGCCACCATGAGGCAGGGAAAGGGCAATCCAGGCAATATTATCCAAGTCCCAGTTCATGCAGCAATACCGCAAACAGACATGTAAGGGTCAACTTGCTTGAATTATATGCAGTTATTTCTTCAATGCAATTGTTTGAAACTCAATTTAATCCACCGTGAATTCATTTTTGTCATCCTTGCTAAAGCCAACAAGCATTTTCACATGAGAAATAATATCCACCATGATATTTTGTATAAACACATAATGGCTGCCAACTAACAAATAAAGACACACTTTATTGCTTGGGACACTGGAGGGCTATGCATTGCACTGCAGAGAAATACTTCTAGCTGAAGGGCCTCAGAGAAGTTAAATATAACTAAAGGCTGATGCTTCAGAACAGAAGCCTCTCTTGTGAGAAAAATATTGATGGTGTCCTGGATGAAACAAAGCGGAATTGTGAAGGAGGCACATCTATTAAGGCATATTAGCTCAACTGCAGACTCTGGGTCAAAATCACAAGAAAAACATAGCAGTAGTGGTTTAAGATTTGCCTTCTTTGGATAGAAATATTCAGGAACCACCCCTCACCCCGGCAAGAATGAGCAGAGAAGGGGTCTTTGGCTTTTTGTAATTATGGCATATTATTAGTTTACATAGCATGCCTATTGCCAAGGAAAAGGTATTAAGTGGGGACACATTATGCAATACCATAAAAAGAATGACTAACATGGATGTACTTAAACAACCATTTGGAATTAAAATGGCTGAACCATTTCCTATAAACCCATGGATTCATTTTTGACCCCAAAACAATTTTAAGCAGCTTCTGGCAGACATTCCAAACTTCAGTCAAAATTACAGAACTTTCACTCATATACACAATCATAGGGTTTTCAAACCTTGCAAAAGAAAGAGATACTCCACATTTCAGTCTGACAGCTTTTTTAAAATGTTACTTATAATACTTGTGTACCTCCACCACTGGGAAGCTCTTCCTACCACATTATACAGCTTTGCAATACATCCTAACCACCTGTGATGGAGTCAATATATACTGAAAATTATAACTGGGCTTCTCAATTAGCATCTAGAAAACAGAACTGCCATCTTTGTTCTAAATTCTACTTATGACTAGAATAAACATGAACTCTTGAAATGTGAAAATCTCATTTCTGAATAATCTACAATCACTTTTAAGCCATTGTTACTTTAGATATGCAAGCTACTAATCAGCAGAATTCCCTTTTATTTTTAATTTCAACTAAAGAAATGCATTGGGTTGAATCCAGATTTACAAATCATTTGCATGTTTACTCAGTAGTAAATCCCATTGCCTCCAATAAGTTTGACTCTTTAGTTTGTATGTTTAGGATTGCGTCCTGCACTGGTTGATCCTAAATCCCATTTATTAGCATGAGACTCATGACAAATTTTGCATGAATTGCAACTGGAATTAGGTGCAACGAAACAGCCTGGGTCCTGGGTCCAACCTAGTACATTTCATGCTTTGAAGCAAACTGGTAACAAAAATACAAATGTGAACAAATTCTTTGCATACTTTCATATATTGTTCTTCCAGGATTACCTGAAAAGGTCCCGCAATTATCCCAGCAGTGTTCTTTATAAGAACAGATGCTTTTGTCCACTGTGCTGTGCTCTTGAAAGGTTGGTTGTGTAAGCTTTGCAAATCCATATCAACGGAACTTCTAATGAAGACTGTCAGGTGGGAACCTTGAGACAACTGATACCAAAATCTTATCTGTTAGAAGGATATTTAAAATGAAAGTATGACCACCCTGCTAACTTACAGGAATATTGAGAGAAATATATATCATGGCACATTAATCCACTCTGCATGTTTGCTTTGTACTGATTATCAATCTAATGTACAGATTACTAAGCAGAAATCCTCTACCAAGCCTTCCCTGAAAATCACTTGGCTCTCTCCAGCGTCGCTGTCAAATACAGAACCTACAATTATTTCAAATTTTTAAAATATCAAATTGCCTAGTTGATCTCTGCTTCTGTTTTCCACCAATCAAGGAACCTGTTTTGTTCATCCAGAATCTTGTATTAAATTAAATATGTATGAAATGTCCATTAGTGTGTACAGGTATATTATGAAACAACTATCAGTGGAAACAATTATGCATATGCTTCAGACAAGACAAATAGTCATACATTTGTCCATCTGTAGGTGGCATCTGCACATCATCCATTCAAAAAAATTAAAGTATATTAATAATATAAACTCCAGGGGTTCACCCAGGATGGAGAACAGCTGCATTTCACATTTCCAAAAATGGAGTATCAACCATTGTCTTCTCCCTTGCTTGCTCCCAGTGGGCCAAGAGGCACTGAAGCCATTAAACCACTTGACAGAGCTCAAGCTGAATATCTGCAAACCATCTTCCACTATATCATCTTAATACTTTGACTATGCAGACAGCATGACTTCCATATCGAGAAAATCTGCTTCCCTGCCCCTTCCTCACCACTTACCTACTTTTTGTAATATCTTGTCTGATGAAGAGCTCTGTAAAACGGGAAAACCTGCACAATTTTGTGACCTTTCAGTCAGCCTGATAAAGGTACCTCACTAACATAGATGGACATATACTCAAAGCTCAGCTGAATACTCCTAAAAGGCCAGAATAGAGCTCCCTTCCAACCTGGTTTCCTCAAGCAAAAGCACTAATTTTTAAAACTTTACAGGAGGAAGATATGTAAAAATTTATGTAATGGTAGCAAATGTCGCATTGCATTTCACAAATAGTAGGTCATACCCTTGGTCTAGATCCTTTATTATGAAACACTGGGACTGATTTACCCAGTATTGCGAAATCATTGCTTAGGAATGTATTGATTTGTGTTAACATCGTATAGGTAAGGCAATAGAAAATTCCCAACCAACAGTGGTGCAGAAATGGTTATTCATGTACTTAGATTCAGCAGAAATTGATAAATTAAAGTATTAATGGAAAATAAGTTTACAATAAATAATGTAACAGACAAATAGATGAACTTCTTTGTATATTCAAATGTGCACTGGTGTTATATACGAAGATTTCTGTAATTTCTGTTGAAAATTCCTTTGTGTGTTTTCTTTCAAAATAAAGAGGGAGGGATATGGGGAAAGGGCAGCAGAGAGACTTCAGTTCACAGAGGAGAGATTTCACAAGCACCCCTCTCTATAGCTGGAGTAGAGCTATGTCAGGTGGACTTTGTGGGAATGGGAACCCATCAGATTTCCTGGGCTGAGGCCCCTGGACTTCAGTCTGCTTAGCCATGGCTGTGAGTCCATGTTCCCGGCAAGCATACCCAGCATTTGGGTGGTGCTCCCCAAGAACCTAGTTTTTTCCCTCACATTTAAAATTTTTTAAAATATATCTACAATACTGTCACATTACTATCCACAATAAGACAGCTACTATAATCAGTTATTAAATGGTCTGTTTCTGTGCTATTAAAACTTGCTAGTTGAGAAATAAAGGTGATCAATTGGAGTAGAATAGAATAGATCAGCTGATCTACTCTATCAAACCCCCAGAAATAAATCAAGAATGGATACCAGATTCTAACAAAATCATCTCTCTTTATTTCCCCTCTGGCCAAATGAAAGCGGGTGGTCAGCTTTTCCATCAATGTCACTGACCATATCCTACTGAGATATTTCATAAATGAGAGCCCTTGGGCATTTTCTCAAAACCTTACAATCTCAGCTCCTGTAGCTCCCAAAAGTATTGCCAACAGTTCTTTACAATTCAGTCCTTCATTCTCCCCAGTAAACAATGAAAAAAGTAAGAGTTTCATTACAAGTTACTGTTTGTTGTTTTAGCTTATTCAACCACTTTATTACTTTCTGCCAATATGGAAACAGAGCAAATCAGAAGGGGTCTCCTCAGCCATCTAGTCTGACCCCTGGCTCCAGCTGGCTCTGCTCATGACATGCATACCGTGTGCATGCCCAGCCTATTGTTAAACACCCTCAGCAATGGGGCTTTAACCACCTCCTATGGAAGCCCATTCCATATCCCAGGGGTCCTAACTGTCAGAAAGTACTTCCTGGCATCCACCTTGAATCTTGGTTCCTTGAGCCTGGCTCCACTGGAACGCATCCTGCCCTCACCCGCAGGGAAAAACAGGCCATGACCCACCCCTGTGTGACACTCCCTCATGTACGTATATTTCTGGGCAAGGTGTTGAAGCGGGTGGTGGCGGGACAACTCCAAGCACTCTTGGATGAAACTGATTATCTGGACCCATTTCAGTCTGGCTTCAGACCCGGGTACAGTACTGAATCTGCCTTGGTCGCCCTGTACAATGACCTGTGCAGGGAGAAAGACGGGGGGGTGCATCCCTGTTGGTTCTTCTGGACCTCTCAGTGGCTTTCGATACCATCGACCATGATATCCTTCTGGATAGGCTAGCGGGAATGGGGGTCGGAGACACTGCTTTGCAGTGATTCCACTCCTATCTCAATGGCCGATTCCAGAAGGTGGTGCTGGGGGACTATGGCTCTGCACCATGGCAGCTATGCCATGGAGTACCGCAGGAGTCCATTTTGTCCCCTTTGCTGTTTAACGTCTACATGAAACCGCTGGGAGAGATCATCAGGAGGTGTGGGCTGCGGAATCATCAGTACGCTGATGATACCCAGCTCTACCTCTCGTTCTCCACCAATCCAGGTGAGGCAGTGGCTGTGCTGAACCGGTGCCTGGCCGAGGTAATGGGCTGGATGAGGGCCAAGCTCAATCCAGACAAGACAGAGGTCCTGTTGGTTGGCGGATTGGACTTCAGGGAGGGTGAATTGAACCTAGTCCTGAATGGGGTTGCACTCCCTCTTAGGGACAAGGTCCACAGCTTGGGACTGCTCCTCAACCCAGAGCTTTCACTGGAAGCTCAGGTGACAGCGGTGGCAGAGGAGTGCTTTCTTTCAGCTTCGGCTGATCCATCAGCTGCGCCCCTACCTGGAGAACGACTGCCTGGCGACAGTGACACACGTGTTGGTGACTTCCTGACTTGACTTCTGTAATGCGCTCTACGTGGGGCTGCCCTTGAAGACGGTCCGGATACTTCAATTGGTTCAAAATAGAGCTTCCAGGCTGCTGACGGGGACTGGACGTTGTGTTCACATGACTCCAGTCCTCTGTTAGCTTCACTGGCTTCCCACTGAAGTCCAGGCCCAATTCATGGTGTTGGTTATGACCTATAAAGCCCTTAACGACTTGGGTCCTGGTTACCTGAAGGAGCACTTACGTCCATATATGCCCGCCCACCCCTTGAGATCAGTGGGAGAGGCCCTTCTCTGGGAACCCTCTGTGAAGGAAATTAGGAGGGTAAGTACTCAGAGGAGGGCTTTCCCTGTGGTGGCGCCCAATCTATGGAATGCGCTCCCCAGAGAGGTCCGCCTGGCGCCGTCATTATTTGTTTTTTGGTGCCAGGCGAAGACCTTTTTATTCAAATGTTATTTTAATTATTAATATTATTTATTCATTTTATTCTTTGGCCAGGGTGACTTAATTTATATTGTTAATTTATATTGTTTTATTGAATTATATTTATTTATGGTTTGTGAGCCGCCCCGAGGCTTCGGCGAATGGGGTGGCGTAGAAGTCCCCTAAATAAATAAATAAATAAATAAATAAATAAATAAATAAATAAATAA